GCTCACAGCAACCTCCAACTCCTGGGCTCAAGCGAATCTCCTGCCTCCGCCTCCCAAGTAGCTGGGACCACAGGCGCCCGCCACAACGCCCGGCTATTTTTTTGTTGTAATTGTCACTGTTGTTTTTAGCACCCTGCTGGTTAGAAACCGCCAGCCCTGGTGTATGTGGCCGGTTCCCTAACCACTGAGCAACAGGCACGAAGCCAAGAAACACGCATAATTAGAAAATTCTCCCTCAATAGATATACAAACTGCCTTCCTATAATTGTCACTTACTAGTCTAACTTGGTCTCCTTAGCCACACACAAGTATTCTAATCCCATATACATTAGAGAAGTCAATGATGCAAGTTTCTTATTGTTCTATGTAAACAAATGAATGCAAAGATGTAAGCAAACATTTAATGTAAAGAAACCAAGTACTCTATGATTCAAGGATGCTCAGGGAATCACAGTAAAATATAAAAAACCCCAGTAATCATGGTCTTAGAAATTTGTTAGCTAAGCAGAATGCTTTACAAAACAAATGTCAAAAAGGCTCTCAAAAGTATAAAGTATTGTTATTTATTTCTGTGATCATCATTGGAGTTGTTCACAAATATTCTGGTTCTCCTCTCTTGTAGAAACATTGTAAAATTACATTGTTATGCACCGTTCAAGTCAGTCATGGCTGTGTAACTTGCTTTGACCAATAAAATGGGAGAGGAAGTAATGTGTCTCCCTTCCTAGGAGAATGGTTAAGCGTCAAAGGCACATCTCCCTCTCCCTGCAAAGTTAATCATGAGAGCTTGTGCTGAATTAAATGTCTGCCAGTTTCTGTTTCTAAGTGACTATAATAAGCAGTGACTAGAGTTGTGCAGTCATCACCTTAATCCAGTTTTAAAACATTTTCATCACCCTTCAGAAATTCATTATGCCCATTTGCAGTTAATCCTCCTTATCACCCACAAACCTAGGCGATCTGCTGTCTATCTCTATGGGTTTGCCTTTCCCAAAAATTTCATATAAACTGAGTATCAATGAGTCAATTGAGTAAGCAATGAGTAGTCTTCTGCATGCGAGTTGAGAAACTAAGACAATTAAGTAAGTAAAATTTAAAAATAGAATGGGTAAATCCTTTCCAAAAGGATGAAGGTTTTCAATTTATTGTGCCCACATCCATCAGAGGAATCACTGTCTATGGCTTGATAAAATGTATTTTTTTTTTTGAGACAGAGTCTCAAACTGTTGCCCTGGGTAGAGTGCTGTGGCATCACAGCTCACAGCAACCTCAACTCTTGGGCTTAAGTGATTCTCTTGCCTCAGCCTCCCAAGTAGCTGAGATTACAGGGTATTTTTTAAATAATAAGACATGAAAGTTGAAATTACTCCTACAAAAATGGATGTTGTGTTAGTAGACATGAAAACATTAATCTCCATATACATCTCCATCAGAGCTCTTGGTGACCAGGTGCATTGTCAATCAGTAGTATTTTGAAAGGAATCTTTTTTTCTGAGCAAAGCAATAGGTCTCAACAATGGGCTTAAAATAGTAAACTGTGTTACAAATGTGCTACCATCTAGGCTTTGTTGTTCCATTTACAGAGCACAGTTAGAATAGATGCAGCATAATTATTTTCTTTTTTTTAAGACAGAGTCTTACTTTGTCACCCTGGGTAGAGTGCCATAGCATCATAGCTCACAGCAACCTCAAGCTTTGGGTTTAAGTAATCCTCTTGCCTCAGCCTCCCAAGTATCTGGGTCTACAGGTGTTCCCCATTACACCTAGCTATTTTTTAGAGACGAGGGTCTCGCTCTTGCTCAGCTGGTCTCAAACTCCCGAGTTCATGTGATCTACCAGCCTCGGCCTTCCAGAGTGCTAGGAGTACAGGCTTGAGCCACTGTGCCCAGCCTAGCATAATTCTTAAGGACTGCAGATTTGGGGATGGTAAATGAGCATTGGCTTTAACTTAAAGTCATCAGCTGTGTTAGCTTCTAACAAGAGAATCAACCTCTCCTTTGAAGCTTCAAAGCCAGTACTGACTTCTCTCTAGGTATGTAAATCCTACGTGGCATCTTCTTCCTATAGAAAGCTATTCTGCCTACACTGAAAATATGTTGTTTAGTGAAGCCACCTTTATCAATTATCTTAGCTAGATAATTGATCTTCTGGATATCTTACCGCAGATTTTACACCAGCACTTGCTGCTTCACCTTTCACTTTTATGTTATGAAGATAGCTTGTTTCCTTAAACATAATGAAATAACCTCTCTAGCTTCAAGCTTTTCTTCTGGAGCTTACTCACCTTTCTCAGCCAGTGTGGAATTGGAGAGAGTTAGGCTTTGGTTTAAGGGAATGTTGTGGTTGGTTTGATCTCCGAAGCACTCAAACTTTTTCCTTATCAGCAATAAGGCTGTTTTATGATACTTTCTTATCATTCATGTACTCACTGGAGGCAAGAGGATTCTTGAGCCCAAGAGTTTGTGTCTGCTGTGAGCTATG